ACAGAGGTGAGCCTACAGTCACCAGGGCTGGGGAGCCGGGTTCCTTCTGGGGTGATGGGAATGTTCTAGAAGCAGGTGGGGGCAGGGCTTTGCACAGTGGGCCCCGGCTGTCCCTGTGCTCCGGGAGGGGGTCCTGCGCGGGGGTCCCGGGACCCCTCTGCCCAACCCCTCTGTTGTTCACTCCTCACCGCCGTCTCTGCAGGCCCTGTGGACAGCGTCCAGGACAGTCGGTGCTGGTCACCTCCGCTCAGCCCGAGGGGCTGCCTGCCTGCCCCTCCCGCCCGCCCGCGTGGGGGCACAGGAAGGAACTGTCACAACCTGGGGGTGAGCACGCCCAGATGGGGAAGCCCTGGCGGGCGGGCGGGGAGCACCCAGAGCACGCGGCGACACCCCTCCCGGCTCCTGGCTGGACAAGTAGCTGGGCTCTGAGAGGAGCCGAATCCTGCAGATTCCATCCTTGGGTAGAGACAAAACCAGGCCTGTCCCTGGGGTGACATGGCCACAGAGACAGCGGGCCACAGAGACCGCAGGCCATGCTGGGAGCCCTGACACCACCACGGCCTCCCTGACTACTGTCACGAGGCCAGTCACCTGTACCCAAAGGTCAGGGGTCAGGGCAGGGTCAGCCTGGGGTTCACAGGCTTCTGGAGGGCCCAGGTGATGCTGTGAGGGTACATTCCTCACACTAGCTCACACTAGCTCTCTCTCTCTCTCTCTCTCTCTCACACACACATACACGCTTTTTTTTTTTGTGGGCTTTGGGGCTTGAACTCAGGGCCTGGGTGCTGTCCCTCAGCTCTTCTGCTCAAGGCTAGCACTCCACCACTTGGAGCCTCAGCTCCACTTCTGGTTTGTGTATGGCTGATTAGAGATGAGTCTCATGGAAGCCAGGCGCCGGTGGCTCACGCCTGTCATCCCAGCTACTCAGGAGGCTGAGATCTAAGGATCACAGTTCAAAGCCAGCCTGGGCAGGAAAGTCCATGAAACTCTCATCTCCAATTACACACCAGAAAATCAGAAGTGGAGCTGTGGCTCAAAGTGGTAGAGCACTAGCCTTCAGCAAAAGAGCTCAGGGACGGCGCCTAGGCCTGGAGTTCAGGTCCCATAACTGATAACACAAAAAAACAAAAAGAGTCTACCCAGGCTGGCTTTGAACTGTGATTCTCAGATCTCAGCCTCCTGAGCTAGGAGTATAGACGTGAGCTACTATAGACCTGAGGAGTATACACATGTGTATTAGCACATGCTCACACACGGTGCACACAGACTCACCCCTGCACACAAATGCACGTGTGTGCCCGGCAGCCATCACTCACCCCTACTTCTGAATCACAGTCCTCACACACATCTGTGCCTACCTGGCCCAGCACACACAGGAGTGTAAAAATCCTCACATGTGCAGGCTTCTCTTCCACAGGGGTCACACACACACCGCCCCTCACGTCCACCTCCCCCAGCGCACACACAAGGCCCCTCAGCATTCTCCCAGGACAGTAAGATCTGCCTTCCCGGCCTTTTGACTCACTACCCCAGAACTCAGGCCCCAGACACCAGGGATCGCGGCGACGGGGGGGGGGGGGGGGATGCTCCAGCGTGGCACTGGGAGGACATCTCGGCACAGGCGCAGGACGGAGCCGTGCCACAGGCCCTCCCAGCGGGTCTGGGAGGAGTGGCCTCGGGGCACCTGGGCTCACGCAGTGTCTCCCAGGCCCGCTCCCAGTGCCTGAGCCTCGGCTCCCGGTGCTCACTCCTCAGCCTGGCTCCCGGTCACACGGCTGCTCCCGCCCAGCACCACCACATGCCAGTGGCCTCCCGGGGCTTTGAGGCCAGGCCATGGAGCGCCGGGACTCATGCCGGCTGCGCCCGGCTTTAGGTAGACCCTGAAGGCCTGTCGCTGAGGGAAAGGTGAGCCAGGGACACCATCGTTCTAGGCCCAGAGCTAAGCGTGGTGCCACCATCACCAGGAGCACAGGATGGAGAGCAGGGCTGCAAGCCTCTGCAGAGGCCCGAGCAGCCACAGCCTCATTGGGGACAATGCTGCACCCGCGGGGCCCAGGTCCGAGCAGGACAGGGGCCGGGCCCTGCCGCTCAGGAAGACCAAGATGGCCATGCCCGGTGGGCAGCCCTGAGACCCTGCGGGGAGCACAGGGGAGACTGTGGGTCCCCAGGGAAGAGGCCCGCCTGGGGCCGTGCCAGGTGGGGTGCGCATGTCTGCCCTGCATCCCTCACAAGTGAGCCCGTGCAGCGGGGTCTCGATGCGTGCGTCTGTCCTTGGCTGTGTCCAGCATACACGGCCGCCGCAGAGCACCAAGGAGGGGCGCAGCGGCGTCCCGCGGGGACTCTGACGCTCAGAGCCGGGGTCACCACGAGCTACTGCACACCGGCCTGCTGGACGACACCAGACCCCGCACCCAGCCACCTCCCAGGGGAGGGGTCGGGGTGAAGGGTCCCTCCACCCACGCCCACTGTGCAGTGTGCGCCTCAGAACAGGGAGTGACAGCTCACGGCTGTGCGTGCGTACGGGGAGAGTGCTCCCGGACTGGGGTGGTGGGGTGCAGCCCAGCCTTTCCTGAATGAAAGGCTTGACTTCACCCTGTGTGCATGGAATGAAATCTCAGCAAAGATGAGGTGGCTTGCCAGACGCGCAGAGCAGCACCCAAGCGCCAGGCCAGAGCTGGATGGAGCTATTGCACACATGTACACACACATGTGCACACATGCGGAGCAGGTGCCCGGCTGCCTTGTCCACGCAGCAAACCATCATTCAGAGTGTGACAGCCACGCCTGCAGAGCCTGGGGAAAGTGCACCGGATCTGCACAGGGACGGGGTCAGGGCCGTGGGGACGGGGTCAGGGCCGAGGGGATGGGGTCAGGGCGGTGGGGACGGGGTCAGGGCCATGGGGACGGGGTCAGGGCCGAGGGGATGGAGTCAGGGCCGAGGGGATGGAGTCAGGGCTGAGGGGACGGGGTCAGGGCCGAGGGGATGGGGTCAGGGCGGTGGGGACGGGGTCAGGGCTGAGGAGACGGAGTCAGGGCCGTGGGGACGGGGTCAGGGCCGAGGGGACGGGGTCAGGGCTGAGGGGGACGGGGTCAGGGCCGTGGGGACGGGGTCAGGGCCGTGGGGACGGGGTCAGGGCCGAGGGGACGGGGTCAGGGCCGTGGGGACGGGGTCAGGGCCATGGGGACGGGGTCAGGGTTGAGGGAGATGAGGTCAGGGCTGTGGGGATGGGGTCAGGGCCGTGGGGACGGGGTCAGGGCTGAGGGGGACGGGGTCAGGGCTGAGGGGGATGGGGTCAGGGCTAAGGGGACGGGGTCAGGGCGGTGGGGACGGGGTCAGGGCCAAGGGGGACGGGGTCAGGGCCGAGGGGATGGGGTCAGGGCGGTGGGGACGGGGTCAGGGCCGTGGGGACGGGGTCAGGGCCGTGGGGACAGGGTCAGGGCCGTGGGGACGGGGTCAGGGCCATGGGGACGGGGTCAGGGTTGAGGGGGTCAGGGTTGAGGGGGATGGGGTCAGGGCTGAGGGGGACGGGGTCAGGGCTGTGGGAACGGGGTCAGGGCTGAGGGGGGATGGGGTCAGGGCCATGGGGACGGGGTCAGGGCCGTGGGGACAGGGTCAGGGTTGAGGGGGATGGGGTCAGGGCCATGGGGACAGGGTCAGGGTTGAGGGGGATGGGGTCAGGGCTGTGGGGACGGGGTCAGGGCCGAGGGGACAGGGTCAGGGTTGAGGGGGACAGGGTCAGGGCCATGGGGATGGGGTCAGGGCCATGGGGACGGAGTCAGGGCGGTGGGGACGGGGTCAGGGCTGTGGGGATGGGGTCAGGGCCGAGAGGATGGGGTCAGGGCCGAGGGGACGGGGTCAGGGCTGAGGGGACGGGGTCAGGGTTGAGGGGGATGGGGTCAGGGCTGAGGGGACGGGGTCAGGGTTGAGGGGGATGGGGTCAGGGCTGTGGGGATGGGGTCAGGGCCGAGGGGACAGGGTCAGGGCCATGGGGACGGGGTCAGGGCGGTGGGGATGGGGTCAGGGCTGTGGGGACAGGGTCAGGGCCATGGGGACGGTGTCAGGGCCATGGGGACGGGGTCAGGGCCATGGGCACAGGCAGGGCTGGGATGGCATCATGTGAGGTGAGTTCAGCTGGACTGGCTGCAGGCCACAGCTGGGGGCAGGGCATGTGGCCTGCGGCCCCAGGGGATCTGAGGAAATTCTATGTGGCCCGTGGACAGCTCCACAGCCCGACCAGGAGACAGGAAAGAACCGGTGGGGACAGGAGCATTGCACCCTCTATGCAGTGACCGCCCCCTCTGGTGCCCCTGGCCTGGCCCTCAGCCCAGCCCCACCACACTGAGAAGGGCGGCCAGCTGCAAATCCTGCAGGGCAAAACGCACACACGGGCCCCTTGCTGGCATGAAGGGTTCCGGGGGCTGGCGTGTGCATGGCGCGGCATAGACCCTTACGCGCACCGGCCGGGTTCCCGCTCCCGTACCAAAGGGAAAAAAACAAACAGGTGAATCAGAACCCAACATGAAGCCGGAGGGGCTGAGTGAGTGCTGGACCCCCGAGCCTCACCCCGGTCAGTGGCCGCCCCACGCCGGCCCAGGCTTAGGGCACAGAGTCACCTCATCAGCGCCCAGGTTCTGAGCCCCTGCCCCCATCCCCTGCCCGGCCCACACGTCCAGCCGGTCATTTCCCAGCAGGCATCGGGCCACATGGCTAAGGCTGCCTGATGTCATTGCCTGAGCCGGTGACAGGGAGGAGCCTCTCCCTGCCGGGTGGTTGGGCAGGAAGGTGGCGGCCCTGTGCCCTGCCAGCGGAGGCCAGGGCGGGCGGGGGGGCCCTCACCCACCCAGGACGCCTGTGGGGCCCCTGAACAGAGCCTGCATGTGTCTTGGGTGTCGCCATGTCCCCGGGGACCCTGCCGGAACAGAGCCCTCGGGGACAGCCATCCCCCTGGCAGGCTGTCAGGGGCAGGGTGGCCGCTGTCCTCCCAGAAACCCCCACCTACCGGGTTCGGGGTGTGGCTCCCGCGTGGCTCTGCCCCCACCGAGACCCCAGGAGGGCCCGGCCCGCCCCACGCGGACAGCCCAGCCCTGGCCCAGACAGGCAGGGGACGCCACTGTCCACCCAGACAGGCCGTCTGGGAACTGGCTTCGGCCCCGCGTCCGCTGCCCTCATTTCCTCTGCTGGCTTCCTCCGCGGGGGGCGGGGAGGAGGCGCTGTCCTGCGGCTGGTTCCTCCGTGACAGCCGGCGGGGCGGGCCGCAGGGGCCGCGCCAAAGCCCTCCAACACCGCACACGCCACACACCGCCACACACCGGGAGTGGCCGCGAGGCCGGCCCTGCCCACCACCTCAGGCTCTGGGGCCAACCCCGTCTATGCCGCGCTGCGGTCGGCCCGCTGCCGGTGGTCTTCATTCTCTCCCCTCTGGCCCAGCCTTGGTCTCTGCCCTCAGGCAGGTGGCCACAGCCTGAGTGCAGCCTGGGGCAGGGGCCTGGGCGCCCCAGAGAGGCAGGGATAGTGAGGGCCTCGCCCCAGGCTCCTCCTCGCCCACCACGCGCAGGCAGACTCCAGGGCGGCGCAGGCCCCCAGCCCCGCCTTCACCTCAAACGGGAGGACCCACCACATCCCGCCCTGGGTGGGCGGCCGGGTGGCCGGCACTGGCGGGCACTGGCCGGCGGCAGCGACCCCTCTCAGGCGGGAGCCGGCTCCCCTCCAGGCCTGGGGGGGCCTTGCGCCTCTTCCAATGCTGGGGCCGCAGGTGGCCCCATCGCTACTCTTCCTGCAGCTCCTCCAGGACCTCTCTCTGTGTCCTCTTTTCAGGATCAGGGCCTCCGCATGACCTCATCTTAACTAACCAAGCGCCTTTGCAGACCAGCCCTATGCTGCGGTCCTGCGCAGCGCTGCCTGCGGGTGGCTGCCCAGGACCCAGGACACCCCGCAGAGCCCCTGGGGCAGGGTGGGGCGCGGGCCTCCGGGTGTCAGTGTGAGCAGCGTCCGGTGTCGGCCACGCCCCGGCCAGGCCCCCCCCACACTCCCCAGCAGGTGAAAGGCTCAGCAACCCAAGCTGGGGCCACGCAGCCGCTGCCCTCCCTCCACCTCAGGCCCCAGCGTGTCCCAAATGACACCACGACCTCACGTCCAGCCCAGCCAGCTCAGGGGCTCAGAACCACAAAAACGCTGGGGCCCCAACATGCCTGGTTCAATGTCACCCCGAACCAGAGAGAAGCCACCCGCCTGGGAGGCCCCAGGGCCCAGGACACTGCACGGGTGGGCTCGAGGAAGTGTGAGCTCACCGAAGGTCCCGGGAGGCAGTGGGGGACAGACATGGAGGCCGAGGTCCTCACCTCCACCCAGAGGGCAGAGCCGCAGGGAACACACAGGACCAGCAAGTGCTGCGTGTGCACACCCGTGCATCTGTGCAGAAATGCGTGCGCGGCCGGTCACCGCATGACCCTGTGCACCGGTGTGGGAGCACGCAGAGCCGGGGCAGTGATGAGTGCCGGTCTGTGTGCGCTCCTACAAGGGCCTGTGCACAAGCTGTGTGTGTGCAACAGCACTGGGGCTGCATCCTCCCCTCCCCGTCTGAGGGCCGGTGACCCGCACTTCACCTCTGCCCCTGCCCCCTCGCATCCCTGCACTTCACCTCTGGAGGGCAGCCAGCCCTGGCCTGGCCAGGCCTGGCCACACAGGCGTGAGCAGCCCCCAGCTCGCCCGAGGTCTCTGTGCGGCTCCAGCCCGGGAGGCCGGGACGGGTTGGCCGGCCTGCCTCCCACCAGTGCCTGACCCACAGGTCCCCACACCTGTTTCCAGGGTGCCTGTGAGCCGGGGGGCGGGTTGGGCGCTCCCTGGGCCCCTCCCAACCCCGTCTCCACCATGCCTGGGACAGGACACGTGCCCCCCACTGCCGCCCGGCCACGGGGACCCATCAAGCTTGCCCTGCACCAGCCACGCCCAGGCCCAGCGGTCAGCTGTCCCCAGGAAACCCCCTGTGTGGCAGAATCGGGGCTGGGGACAGACCGTGAGCGGAGGGTCTGCAGACAGGGTGGGTTCTGTGGGCCTCTCGACTGTGAGGATGGCCGCGGGGGCCCCAGGTCACCCCGCCAGGCTGGCCAGGTCACCCCGCCAGGCTGGCCAGGTCACCCCGCCAGGCTGGCCAGGTCACCCCGCCAGGCTGGCCAGGTCACCCTGCCAGGCTGGCCTGACCCTGCACTCCACACCAGCACCCCTCCAGTGCCAGCACTGCATCCATTCCCACCTTACAGAGGGGGAAACTGAGGCAGAGAGTAAAAGGGTCAGAAAGGGGCTCCTGGGCAAATGGGGGTGTGAGCACGGGGGGAAGGGGGAGGGGACGGGGGAGGTACGTGAGCACCAGGCAGCCCGGGCCCTATGTGTGCCTGAGAGCTCATGTGTCCCTGAAGCTGGGGCTCCTCGCCGGAGGCCCCAGAACTCCAGCGCCTGGTTGGGGGCAATACCGGCAGATCCTGAGCAGCCGCAAGGCCCCTCCGGAGGGGCGGCTCTGCCCTCTGCTCCCCAGCCTGGCTCAGCCGCTGCTGGTGTCCCCGGAGGCCGCCCTGCCACCCTCCATCTCCTGCGGTACCTGAGCGTCCCCCGGCCGAGCAGAGCTGAGCAGCGGGGATGCTGCCCACCGCCACCGGGCGCAGCGGCCAGGGCACACACCCCACACGCAGCCGTTCCCTACGCCGGGGGGTCCCCCAGGAATGCATGTCTAGGCCTGGTCACCTCGCACTGGCCCTGCCCAGTGTCTGTGGCGGTGGAGGGCCTCAGCGGACCCTGCAGAACCCCAGGGGGCAGACACCCACCGCTAACCACCAGCCCATCACCCGCGCCGCCATGCTTGCTGCTGCCTCCGTGGGGACCAGCACCAAGCCCTGAGGCGGCACAGCGCTGCCCAGGGGGCAAAGGGGCACTGCGTGGGTCTGCCGGGACCTCCGCCCGGGGCAGGGGCTGCATCTGCCGGCACACGGCCTGGTCCAGGCCTCTGGGTGCGGGTGGGTGGGCCAGCGCCCTTCACCTTGGGACTGGAGAAAAGCCAGCGAGCCACGGTGGCCGGGGGAGCCCCAGCCCCAGCTGCACCCCCACCCCCAAACATCCGTCTCTGATGACAGGAAGGGGTTGCCAAACACCCGACATGCCGCCGGTGCCACAGATAGGCAAACGGAGGCCCGGGGAAGGCAAGAGTGACAGGAAGCCTCGGGGACCCTGAGAGTAGCAGAGCAGTGGGTCCGGCTGTCCTCCCCCGCAGCCCTGTCCCCCGCGGCCCTGTCCCCGGCCCCGCAGGCCCCGCAGGCCCCGCAGACCCTCCGGGCAGCACTCGGCCAGGCGGAGGCCCGGCTCTCCACACCGGCTGGGACAACTTTCCCCGCGGGTCATGGCGCGGACACGGTCGTTGTGGGGTGCTCCTGAGCTGCGGCGGCTCGTGCTCCCGGGATGGCGCGGCCTGGGCCCTGCCTGGGGCGGGGACAGCGGGGCACGGCGGCCCCTCAGTCCCTAGTCCTCCTCACCCGGTCAGCGACCCGGGCGCCTGGAGTCGGGGAGGACGCGGGGGCCATGCCGGGCGCGGGGCCTTCTCGGGCCAAAGGTGCCCGAGGGGGGCTGGGCCCGGGCTGCGGGGCCGGCGCCATGACCTCGGGCCCCTTAGGTCACCCGAGAAGTTGTCTCCAGACAAGCGACGC